TTATACGCAGACCTCTTATCTCCTATGAAGTCCCCCAAACAAAGACAGTGACTAATTGGTTTTTCTCACTTTTCTTTTTTTTCCTGATCCACCAACTGTTGTCGGACCGGTTTCTCAGAATCTAATGCTCATTTACTAAAGAAACTTAAGAGTATTCCCACATTTATCCACAGGTATATTCTTGACTAAGTGTTTTAATGAAATGGTTCGTGATACGCTATGGATGGAAGCTTGTCTTTCTAAATCAATAAATAAAGACATTTTTTGCAGGAATGAACCATCCGGATCCGGGGAGGGACAACACAGTCTCAGCGACTTTCTCAATAACTAGAATAGCAATCTCCTACTTCAGGTTTCATAGAGTGTAAACATCATTTGTTGTCTACGCATTAATAACATAATATATGTGGCCAACAAACCACACCTTGCCTGAATTTATTCAGTTGATAAACATGTAGGCATATCGGTTTAATCGTTTGTTGTCAGTAATACAAATGTAATGTCTTATTTAACCCATCAAAGGACATTGCAGCATCCCAACCAAGAATAAGACGTTTAAAGACCCCTGTAAAACTGTTTAATACCACACAAAACGTTTTTACTAAAACTGTTCATCAAGATATTTGGAATCTAGATTTGAGGAACAGAATCATTGCCGATATGGCTCAATCTCTGATTTAAATCCATTACTTCAAAGCTTTTCCACTTCAAATACACGCTGAAACAACCACTTTCAGAGAGCCTTAGAATAACTAATATTTCGGCATGATCTTGTTCAAACCTATTTGTACAGCTATACTACAGCTGACCTTGACTGTTGTGAGGAGATTAAACCGAAAACCAAACCAGCAGGAAACGTTGTTAATGGCGACCGAAATATAAATGCAACTGTCGCCTGTGGACTAACTAATAACCCCCGCACTCAGACTGCTTGTTGCCCCAGTAGGTGCTAAATAAAGAAGTGAAAAAGTATATAAAAAGAGCAAGGGTCATGAAAAAGTCTAACCTCAGATGGCGTACCAACACACCAATGGAAAAGACAAAAACCGCTACTGTGACATTTGACCCAATTACCTAGGAATTTCGTCAAAATGTAGATTGCGTCAATGCTACATATACTTCAAGGTATGTGTATACAAAATACCTACCATTTCTACGATAATTAGTCATTTCAGTACTATAATGCATCTGTGACCTTTAACCTTTGACCTCATGACCTTGAAAGTTTGTCCCAATTCAGCCTGCATAATTGGCTACGAAATTGAAGGAACATAATATCGTTCGGGGAGACACAGTTCATGTGAGGGATACCAAGTGTGCATCAAAAGTTTCATAAAAATCCATGCATAAAACTAGGAGGAGTAGGAGGTACAATATTTTGTCGACAGACAGACGGACGGACACACAGAGTGATTCTATTATACCCATGCTTACACTTTCAGATCAGCTTGTAATATTTTCGGCATGGTATTTCAGTGATACAGCATTGTAAAGTCGGCATGGTATTTCAGTGAAATAGCATTATAAGGTCGGCATGGTATATCAGTGATATAGCATTGTAAAGTCGGCATGGCATTTCAGTGATATAGCATTGTAAAGTCGGCATGGGATATCAGTGATGTAGCATTGTAAAGTCGGCATGGTATTGCAGTGAAATAGCATTATAAAGTCGGCATGGTATATCAGTGATATTGCATTGTAAAGTCGGCATGGTATTTCAGTGATATGTCATTGTAAAGTCGGCATGGTATTTCAGTGATATAGCATTGTAAAGTCGGCATGGTATATCAGTGATGTAGCATTGTAAAGTCGGCATGGTATTTCAGTGAAATAGCATTATAAAGTCGGCATGGTATATCAGTGATATAGCATTGTAAAGTCGGCATGGTATTTCTGTGATATAGCATTATAAAGTCGGCATGGTATTTCAGTTATATAGCATTGTAAAGTCGGCATGGTATTTCTGTGATATAGCATTATAAAGTCGGCATGGTATTTCAGTTATATAGCATTGTAAAGTCGGCATGGTATTTCAGTGATATAACATTGTAAAGTTGGCATGGTATTTCAGTGATATAGCATTGTAAAGTCGGCATGGTATATCAGTGATGTAGCATTGTAAGGTCGGCATGGTATTTCAGTGAAATAGCATTATAAAGTCGGCATGGTATATAAGTGATATAGCATTGTAAAGTCGGCATGATATTTCAGTGATATGGCATTGTAAAGTCGGCATGGTATTTCAGTGATATAGCATTGTAAAGTCGGCATGGTATTTCAGTGATATAACATTGTAAAGTCGGCATGGTATTTCAATGATATAGCATTGTAAAGTCGGCATGGAATTTCAGTGATATAGCATTGTAAAGTCGGCATGGTATATCAGTGATATAGCATTGTAAAGTCGGCATCAGATCTGCGCTATCACTAGCATGCAATTACACCAACATACCCTGCCTCCTGTACACATACACACATGCACACATACGCACACACATTGAGGCACGTTCTTAAATGCATAAGCTGTTGATAGTATGTTAAACCCTGTGCAACCACCCAACCTTGTACTTTTTGAAGTGTATATTGGTATCTATGTTAATATTTCGTGTTTCCAAATGTTGCCTTTACTTTGCTGACTTCTGATTTCTAACACGATTTGGTTGAAACCTCGGTGTTCTTTTGTTTGTGTTCTAACAATGCGATGAAAACAATTAAAATATGAAATACAAAAAAAGAAATACTTGATATTTCCAGCACAGATAGCACAACATAAAATTAATGTCAGAAGGGACAGATTTTCTTCTCTTGTACACATTCTCTAGGCTGTGCATGGTATGTCGTATTGTACATATACCTTGACCTAATTTAAAAACACTAGCAATTATTCACTTACTTTAGTTTAATCAGTCAAACAGCAGAGATAAGATTAATTTCTGAGAGACCAAATCTAATAACGAAATTCGATAATAATATCACGGTGAAAAGATTGATTTTTTCTTATTGATAATGACCCAAACTCTTCCACTGTGTTCCTTTGAATTCATTTTGATATGTTTATATTAGGGAGTAACATTTAAACGAACTCATCAACATCGGTCTTCCCTAATGCAATTGCAAAAAGTAAGAGTACAAAAAATCCCGAACTATAACTGTATCAAACTAATGTTCCTTAGCGGATACATTAGCCACATACAGTTAATGGAACGACGCCGAACAGTACATTGCAACCACTTGCCCCTATACTGTTCCTCTCTGATACAGCTCATAAAGTACACGGGAAACTCATAACGATTTGATAAATGTAACAGAACGCAGTCAGGTAAGTGTTGATTGATTGAGAAAAATGTCACATGGAAAACGAAAAAGCAGCATAAGTTACTTTTGTTCTTATTGCTAAATAGAACGTGATGTTATTCCGTTATGAATTGCTGTTAAGAGAATGGGACTCTTTTGGAAGTAAAACAAATAACGCTCCTTATACCGTCAGCATCGAAGAACTCTGGTTATTTACATTAATATTGATTCCATCAACTTCATTGTCCCGTGACTTTATCACCTGATTGCCCTATTCATTTCTCTCATGGTTCTCAAACTTGTTTTATCTAATCATCCTGCAATTCGTTGCTGTGCTTTCAAAGGATTCGATCCCATAACTATCTGATTATGAACATGCCTAACGCAACACAGGACAGTTAAGGCCAATAGATTCTTTGAAATAAAGAAAAGGTGGTGATGACACGGCTTTAGTTTAATTGTGTGGTGTCAACGACTAAGACTTTATAAACCTTGTAATGAGCAGTTTAAATTTGTAAATGGAAATAAAATAATCAACAGTTGATAGCGACAGCGCGCGTTGGCGGCGCGAGCGGCCTTTTTCTTCTTTTTGCTAATACCCCAGGTCTATTGTCAGGACTCAGTAGAAATTAGAACACATTATTGTTTATGAAGACATAATTTGGTTTATGTGCTTTCGGATGATGAATACAACATAGACTTTTTTGCAGATAATGTCAATGTATCATTTTGTTGCCGGCATCTGATAGCAGTATGTATACCTTTTAATGCTTTCTTTCAAATACAGTATACACATGTATCTAATGAGTCTCCTGATGGAAAATGACAGTTGGTTCATTCTATATCCCCTAAGCAAATGACACTTAAGAAGCCCCTTCTTAAGTGTCATTTGCTTAGGGGATATAGAATGAACCGGATTTTTTCTTAAACGACTGGATTGTAATTTCAACATTTTGTCTCCAAAGATCTGGAATGTTTTATCTTTAGATAGTGTAAATGTAACCGTTATTGGTGTTATACAGCAACACAGAGAAAATGTTGTAAAGACAAAAGGACCTAGGCCCTAGGTTGCAGTCGACAACAGTAAATGCTGAAGTTATTTGCTCTGATCTTGCCTCTACTTGTAGTTCTATACTTCGCAATCCCTTCCTCGCCTGAACCTGATACCTGACAAAATCTCAGGGTATTGGCTACATCTATGGCGTTTGGTTCCGTTACCTAGCCTCGAGGCGTACTAAAGTCCTTACAAGTTGTTGTTGTTCAGCATTTTGGGCAAGCCCAACCACAGGTTCGCCCGTTGTCAGTAAATATCAAATTACCAGATAGTATGCTGTGCTGAGTGTCTTCGGCATGACATTTCAGTGAAGTTATACTTAAAAGTCAATATACAGAACCAAGTCAAGCAAATTGATCTACAAATTGCATGATCGGGTAAATATAAATATTGTTAAAATGTAATCTAATAGCGCAACCCATCTATTACGGAGATGTTTACAGAAATATTTACAGCAGATACAACTCCATGTAACAAATAGCTCATTATATTGACAGATCCTTTCTTCTTAATTTAGTTTTTCCTGACATTTCTCGTTTCTGTGTAAATTTTTCATCTTGTACGGGCGATTTTGTAATTCGATCCCGTGCGCTCCTTTGCACTTGTGTACTTTAATGTTGCCATTATGCAATGAAATAAAAAAGCAAATTACCTTCATAGCCAGCAGGATTATAGCACTGGAATGGTAGGCGCCGATGAGAGAACCCATGACGGTATTCCGTCGGGATCCAAACAGATTGGACACTTGTATGTTGGTTAGAAGGATTACCAGTCCAGCAAGGGAAATTAAACTAAAAGCCGGAATCACCAACCATGGGAATGCTGAAATAGTGAACGTGCATTTTGTGAAAGAAATGAGTATAAAATTAACCATTAACAATCATAGCAGATGCATTTTGCATTTAGATATAACACAATTGTCTATGTTGAAGTAAATGAATACAATTCTGATTAATTTTCAGTTTTTATTTGTTATACCTTTCAAAGTAATTATTTGCATATGGATTTTTTATTCTTATATTATTCATTGTCAGAAGGGAAAAAGCTAAGCATTGTATCTGCATATACGCTTGGGGTGTTTCAGACAATTAAGACTAACTTACATGCGTTTGAAAATGTCATGACCAATGTGCCAATAGCAAACGTCAAGCTGGAATGAAAGAAAATGTATGATATACAGATGTACAATGGTATGTTTGTGTGAATGTTATAACGTGACCTCAGGTCTTTGTCGTACATAACGAGGTTCGAGGTCTTTATCTGTCATAACGAGACTTGATGTCTTTGTCGTTCATCACGAGGCCCGATATACTTGTCTGTTATAGTGAGTTGAGATGCGTATGCCATTACGAGGCTTAAGATGCTTGGCAGTCATAACAAGGCTTGAGATGCTGGTCTGGCTACCGATCTGTTCAATTATACACGGCACTTGATTTGTAATGTTGTTTTTGTTGACAGCAAAATTGGCATACAACATATACGTTTCAATCATACGACCTCTAATTAAGCATGAAATACATCCGGTACTAGTTTTGACAAGTTACATGTGTGTACCTTTAGAAAATATTAAACCTGATACATTGTAATACCCATTTCATGCCGTGCCCTCTACGTTTGGATACAAACATATCCAAGGTAAATCCGCCTCACCCATTGCAACGCTTTGGGACATTTATATTTCTCTCTACTTCCTAATAACCTTTTTATATTTCGCCTTGCCCGGACATATTTAAGTTAATATAAATTGCAGTTGTTATTCCCTGTCCTACTGAACGTTTGCAGTTATACCAAGTGGTTAACTCGTTGTCATTATAATATTATCGGTAAAATACTATGATGGGTCCCTTCGGCATGGTATTTCAGTATGATAGCACTATAAAATCAATATCAGAACCCTGCAGAAAGGCAAATCATACACGCATACATTACACATGGAGGAACGTCCTTAAATATCCCAGCCGTTTATTAAGCATTGAACTGTTTTTGTATGGTATTAATGATCTATTTGAATGACACAGCTTTGCAAGCAAACAAATCATAATGCGCGCTGTGTCATTCAAATAGATCATAAATACCATACAAAAACAGTTCAATACTTATATTTTCGTTTTCTCTGCCTTTTATGTTCTTTTTTACCTTATAATTTATATTTAAAATTAAAAATGCCCGCCTTATCGACAGTCCACACAATTTCGTTCAATAGTTTGAACAGCATATTGTCGCGTGCTGATTGGCAAACAAAGTAGCACTTTGAAATTGTAACAAACACTTCAATTTTATTCCACAATTCAGTATCAATACAATTGCGTATGATATGTCTATAGGGTGATTTAAGTTTATCAATAGAACTCTGAGCTGAAAGTTAGATTTGAAATTGTTTCGATTTTTCCCCGGAACAAATTTCGCGCATGGACAAAAACAGTGAACACCGTAAATCCGACCTTGCCCTCCACGAGGGAGTTATTTTTGGAAGTTAATTCGAACTTTTCTCTTTGCTCATTTTGTGAAGAATCCAGGCGTGAATTTATTTGTTGATTGTATGGGAACCTGACAACAGTCTATAGATTCTAAAACAGCCTCGTTATTTGACATGTCGTCAGAAACTGAGGAACCGTGGATGCGAGACGCGTGAAACTGATAGCGTTTGAAGTGAGTGATCTTGCGACGGAGCACAGGTTCGTTACAAATGTCTGAAATGTTTATGTGTGCTGCGACTCATATCAGTAGGTCTTGAAACATATGTGTCAGTATGGGTATAGAATATGTGTATTTCAGACATTTGTAACGAACCCCTGTTGATCAGTGCAGAGTAATAGACGATATTTCTGATAAATTGCATGAGCGTGAAAATTGTTGCCATTGCCGGCATTGGTGATTTCAACCGATCAGCATTTTGTACGATATTGCAGACCTTGGTCTTGTTTTCGTTGTAATGAAAGTGGTTTTTATATTATTTTTTATTTTGCACATAAATTTACAATGACATTGTCAAATCTCAAAATGCCCAGCGATACTTTAAACAGCCGTCATGTTTATTTATATTGGATATTGTAGTTCCGGTCAGTGTTGTATTAATACGCTAAGAATTGTGTCTCGTGATGCATGGTAATTAAAGTCCCATCAACGACACAGCTTTCAAAGAGGCTATATAGTGACAATACCATGCAAATGTAAATACTATGACATAAACCTCAATTAAACTCAAACCCGAAATTGGATTTATTTTGTTGTATGTACACGTAAGTAGAGGTAAGCGACCTCAATATCGTCCCGGCTATGTACCCATTGCTTTAAATATTATCAACCTTTATGTAATTGTTGCCCATAATCAAAGTGTGTATCATGCCTTTGTTCTAAGGCCATATCCCTAAGGTCAATGTCATCAACATCTTGATACTGTTTCTAGGACATAATTTTGAGAACCTTGATATCTTGTCTTAGATTAACCGTGCATGTTTGGGAAAAGAATATCCCTTCTTTAACCCACTGCATGATCGTAAGATGCGACATATGCGAGGTCCCCTGCAGAATTGTGGGATTTGTTTTGGTATTTCCCACGGAGGAGATATGGAGGAGACAAAAACTGATCTGCTGTCCCCACTGCATCAACTTTGAATCTTTTTCGTTCCCTTTCCTTCCTGTCTGCTTTCGTTTCTATGTACTTTCTGTTTGATGAGGTATGTACCTAGACGTCCGTCCTCATATGACTACGACTGTTGCGAGGACGGTAAACCAAAAACAAACAAAATTTTCAGGAATTTGCAAGTAACCGAAGGATGCATCATACTCATGCTTCATGGTTATTTTCCAAGATCAAGATCATGGGACGTCATCGTCTTCAGACTGTTCACAATTTCGTGTCGACTTGTATCAAATTTAAACTACGCGCTGTCAGTAATCAAAGATGGTGGCATGACCTTGACCAAAGGTCATATACATGTACATATGGTCAAGCCCATAAGTAATTGAGACTGTATCTCTGTCATAATTTTGAGATCTTCTGGATGTTTATCATACCTTTGTTAAGCGTTCAGCATGTAGTGTGATGACAACAAAGGGTTAACCTGATTTTGGTAAAATTGTACAGGGTGGCACGCTGTGCTGGATCTGACTTCATAATATCAGTAATTGAGTTAGGAAGCATTCTAAATTCGGTATTAAACATTCGAGCTTTAGCAAAAAGCCACATACACAAACATACCCTGCCTTCATCACAATAAAGACACATGGACGCATACATTACACACACGGACAAACGTCTTTATGTGTCCTTAGCTATTAAAAGGACGTAACACAAAATAAACCTAATCAAGAGATTGAAATAACAATAAATCAAGCTCTTATCCCACAGTCAAGGACTTTGACGGCAACTAGCGTCATTTTATAATTTAAACGGGGTATTGCAATAGGATTGACAGGAGGGGGAACTTCTCTCGCTACGACGTTGGTGATTTGTTTAACTCCGGTCGTCTACGTTCACAGTTAACTAATCTGCCAAATCAGGTGATAAGAGTAATTAGATTAGTGTTGTCCGGGGATAATCACGAAAGGAGTCATGGGGCTCCTGTCACTTCAAAGAGTTAATCACCCTTTCCAATTCATTTTTGGATAATTTTTATTTTTTGTTGACAGTGACCCAAGTGTTGGTTCCGACCTTCTTTTGACATTGTCCACTCATCTGTCTATCTACTGGACACATTTCAAAGATACCAGTGCTACATGACCTTTACACACAGGAGTCGCATACGAAATGGGGACATTACAACGAACAGGTTCACGCTGTGTAACGTGTAATGGGATTTCTATCAAATGATCTATATGGGGGCAGCTTATTACTGTTGACCTTAACACGTGTAATTTTTAAATACCCATCAGAATAAACTCATAATCTTTCTGTCGTCATCTTTATTGCTCCTTCGTTGTAGAAAGCACCCAAATAATCACACAGATTTGATAAATGGAATTTGTACACCGCGGTCAACGACCGGATTTCCATAAAATTCCCGGACGTGCCAAATCCGTGCGGGATCATTGTGAGACTTATGGTTATAGATTCGTTCTACCAAATCCATAGTGTTTCCAAAGCCACTGCCCCATAACCTTCGCCAGCATACAGGAAGCGAGGACTAAATGGTGAGGTATGAATAATGTACTACCCTAATTGGATAGAAATTGGTTTTGACCCATATAATGCCAAAACCTATTCCAATCAATAGAAGACGGGCATTGTGTCGTCGAAGATAAATGACCAATAATGAAGTTTGTGTTTATCATATATCGCCGTAGGGAAAACATTTCGAGGGAAAAATCCCGTAAATTGCTTTGAATTTTTTTTTATTCTGGCCACATGTTTTATTGGAAAAAAAGTTGATTATTGAGCAGCTTTTCATTTTGTAATAACCTGGTTTCATTCCGTTTGACAACAATTTCATTTCAACATAATATTTTAAAATAGAACAAAACAACAACCTTTGACTAATGTTTTATCCAAAATATAAATTTATGAAACCCGGAATCAACACTTAGTTTAATTATGTCTTACAAGCCCAACGAGACAGTTCGGTAACACAGTATTAACGGCCAAGTACATTAACGCACTGTGTTAACAACACCGACCGAAAGCGACAGTGAAACTACCCTATTACTTGAAACCTATTATTTGGTATTGAATCAAAACTCAAACAAGGTTTTCAATGCTTAACACAGTGAACTTTACATATTTCTTATGATTTATTTATGGTTGTAAGTCCTGTCAAGAGGTGACGTCAAAGGATATAATGTGTACCAGCTCTCACAACTTGGTAGACCCCTTCCCGAAAAAAACGAAGAAAAAAAGATGTTTTAAGTGTTGTTATGAAGGAAGTAGATATCCTGCTTCTACTTAGAAGAGGCCAGAGAGGGAGAAAACACGATTGTACACGGGCCAAAAATTGTTTCATCATACTATTGCATGTGTTTAGGGTAAGAAACAGCCCCCATACATGATTATAAATAGTAAGGTTCATGGTTTTGACAAAATTGTTATCTACCAATGTTAAGAGTTTCGCAATATCTATGTACTTGAATAATGTCGGTGCGATGTAAATTGTTGTGCCTTGTTGTAAATCGATTGTGTCGCTCAGGATTGATTATTGTGTTATGATCTGTTAG